GGAGCGGGGGAGGCCGGGGCGGGCTGCGCGGGGCGGCCGCGGGTTTTCGTGGGAGCGGGGCAGCGGGCTGCATCCTTGGCCTCGGATCCAGGGCAAGCTGGGGAGGAGCCCCCTGTTAGCAATAGATGGAGACCCCTTTCCCCCCGCTAGCCTCCCGCCCTGTCCCGGCAGTGAGTTACAGGCACTTGAACCAAGGTACAGTGCCCCGCAGCCGGACTCGCTCAGGAAGCTCCATGCCAGCGAGCAGGCGTGATTACAAATCCCCTCTGTTTTGCTCTGGTCTCAGCAGCTGGGTCCCAGTGTGTTAGGACATAGAGGTGTTGGTGTGGCAGGGGAGGCATTCCCTTTCCTGCTTGCTTGGGAGCCACTTCAGGGAGTGGGCTCAGCTTTTCCGTTCCCCCCGGGCTTTTGCGGCCGTTGTTTGTCTTGGGGTCTCCTTCTGCTTCCGCTAGACTCTGGGGGCGAAAATCAGGTCCATGTCCAACCGGACCCTCAGCCTGCGTGTTTCTCTATGCAGGAGTTGTCCTCTGCTCACCTTGGGGGCGGCTGCTGGCATCAGTGGATGGTGGCAGAGGTGCTGGGGTCTGCATGACTGGCATAATTCACAGAATCCAAGCCTTAACGCGTGCATTTTTCAATTGCACTCGATTTCTATGGACCGATGAGAGAGAGCACAAATAAAACTGTGCCCTGGCACTGCCGCCTCCCTTGCAGTAAAATACCTTCATTATAGCTTCCCTTCCTGATTAGTGAGAGGTGAAATGATTGGACTCATAGAACAGCACTAGTTTAAGCTTCCTGGGCAAGGAGGAGGCTATGTGCTATTATGCAATAAGCTTGACGGCAAAGCAGAGATACAGAATTTGCCATCGACACTGTTGTTCTCCTTTTGTAAAATAGTATGACTATCAGGCTGGGAGGAGTAGATTTGAGGGTTTTCCTCTGCCGTTTATGTTTTCCAGCCCCACATTTCTGGTGACAGCTCCCTGTAACATCAGGCCTGGTGGAAATGTAACTGTTGGGGTTGTTCTTCTGCAAGACAGCCCGCTCCAAGTCACAGTCAGAGGGGAAGTGCTCAGAGGAAATGATTCCCTGCTGAGTGGAGAGCTTGTTTTTGAAAAAGGTAAGTTGGCAGCATGAGCCAAAAGAGATTTCAGTGCACATTACCCTCCTCCCAACTGCCTCACTCTTGAAATAAACCTGTATTTTTAGCTGGTGGGCTGGTCTTGTTTTACCACATTTGGTCAGTGCAAGGAGAAAAACACTAGTACATAAGGTGGAACTGTTTGCCGAATATTTAGTGGTTTGTACATAGGTGTCATAACTCATTCTGGGCACACTGGGAATAACAATAACAAGTATTAATGATAGTGTGATGTGCTGGCACCTACTGAGTTTCTAAAAGTACTCTGCATCCCAGGGCTTAGGCCAGATCATAAGACTGTCTCAGAAACTCTGCCCTCTCTGAGGTTTATCGAAAGATTCAGGGTCAAGACAAAATGTATATGGGGGAGGGAGGGGGGACTGGACTCGATCTCATGAGGTCCCTTCCAGCCCCTACTGTCTATGACATCTATGAAAAGCTGCTCATAAAAGCACCTAGATGCAGCTGATTGTTTATATAATCAAGCAGGAAGAAGAAGGTGTGCTGGGGGCGGTCAGTGTGGGGAGGAGCTGGCTGTGAACACCACATGATTGTCAGAACAAAGTAAATGAGAGAGCCTCATGGGTTATTTTAACGCTGGCCAAAAATTGGACCTGCAAAGACTGGTTCCTGGGTTCCAGGATTTACTGTGCTTTGGTCCTGTCCTTTATGTACATTAGAGCAGCCTGAGGCCCATAGAGGCAATTCTGACAGTTGGAAGTAGTTGGATTGTTGAGACCCCGGCTGAGGTGGTTCCTTTTAGCCCTACAGTCTACGTAAGAACATAGGAATACAGGACTAGGATGTCCTGGTCCTAGTCATTAAATGCAACCATATCATGTCCATTAATCAAGATCTGTCTTAAAAGTAGCTAGGTGTGTTTGTCCTCACTTCTACTGGAAGGTTGTTGCTGAACTTCACGGTTCTGGTGCTTAGAAACCTTCTGATTTCAGGCTTAAATTATTCATTGTTGGTAGTTCAGACAGATCTTTTGGAGATTTATTGTTCACTTGGGGAACAAATGATAGTAGTGTCTGTTATACCAATAATCATGCTGCTTTAATACTTACATGGAATGTGTTGACTAAAAGATGACTGATGGAGAAAGTGATCAATACTGCAGTTATATTTTAGATTATTGCATCAGCCCAATTACATTTGTCTTTCTCTGAGGCTGAACATTCTTGAGTACATAGCTTATTTTCAATTAACCTGCCATTTCGTTCCTGAGTAAAAGATAGAATGCACATTTATTGTAAAAACTGATCTTTTCCCCATCCTTTCTTCTTCTAACTCTTCTGTCTCTTGTCCCACGCTGCTGCTTCTTTTGACAACATGTGTTATATGGGCAGTGTTACAGGCTGTTGTTTGTATTTGGTAATGCCAAAGAGGACAGTAGGTCCAAGTTTCCTTCAATTTATGAGGTGTATACATTCCTGGAGAATGGCGCATAAAGGGAACCTACTTTACAATGTAACAAATAGGGATAGGTTCCCATGGCGGTGAGGGAGGGAGTGAGGCTAGGACTAGGGAAGGGGTGGGTGGAGGGTGCTGCTCCCAGGGCTGCACAAGGAAGCAAAACAGAGGGAACAGAGTGGCACTCACCCCAGCCCCGGCTGCAGTGGCCCTGGCAGCAGCTGGTGCCAGCTGCCTGCACCATGCTCTGCCTGTCCCCACTCACCTCTGCTTCTGGGCTGCGACATGCCCTGGTGCAGGCAGCTGGTGTCAGCTGCTCCTGGGACCGCTGCAGCTGGGGCTGGGGTGAATGCTTTGCCCTGTGCCGCCCGGGGCTCCGTTTGTCCGGACTCACCCCAGCCCATGCTGGAGCAGCCCCGGGAGCAGCTGACACCAGCTGCTTGCACCAGAGCATAGTGCAGTCCAGGAGTTGGTGAGCCGAGGCATGAGGGGGACACACAGGCGGAGCATGGTGCAGCCCAGCGGCTGCAGGAAGCTGGGGTGAGTGGGGCCATGGCCCTTTCCCCTCCCTCCACAGATTTACCTGCTTGGGCGGGGGCTGGGAGGGAGGGCCGGCATGTACGCTGATCACATAAGAGTGAATTTACCTTGCATATAACGAAAGCTTTTAAAATGAGGACCTGATCCAATGAGGTGCTGACATCAATAGGAATTACAGGTGCTCAGTGTATGAACAGGAAAAAGTAGGGAAATAATTTTTTCAAAACACTTAAAATATGTTTAACTGAGCCCTTGTCTCCTTGCTCCTGTTTTTGTCAGCTTTTATTTTTTTTCTTCTTTTCTGTTTGGCGTATGGAAAGGCAAAGAGCTAAACCGTAGAGCAGGGGTGTCAGAATCCTCAGGCTCGGCATGCTGGATTGGGTCTGCAGACTGACCTGTTGTGGGCATTGTGTACAGTACGTGTCTTGGCCCAGTCTGATGAGCATGCCACGTGTAGCTCACATCCCAGACTGGCCTGGTACAGGCTCTGAGTGCAGCGGGTGGGTCAACTCCAAGACCTGTGGACGGCAATGTGGGCTGGATGATAGGGCTCCGTGGGTCAGATCTGGCCTGTGGGCTATATCTTTGACACTCCTGCACCAGGGATAGCACACAGGGTGAGGAGCAAGCAAGTTGTACATAGTTCCTGCCCTCAAAACAGGTTCATTATGTATCAGGAGAATGTTGTATTGAGAATAATTACTTAGAGGTAAAGTGGACTAAAATTCTTTACCTGCCCTCTTAACAGCAAAACATCCTCATGTTAAATTATGTCACTGTTGGATTTAGTACCATGAAAGTATTGCTTCTTTTGACTGCATTAACATCTTGGGTTAAGTCTATTTGTTAATGTAACAATACCATTCTAAACCATCCTGTTTTTGTGGTGCAGTGATAGCCCAGAGGCTGGCAGCCTGTAGTATCTAGCCCATTGGCAGGGTAGATATTGGTGGGGCAGCTGAAGTTATTGATCATGTTGGGTATCTTACAACCAGGATATTCATCAATTCAGATATTCATCAATATAGTTTAATATGCAGGCCCTTATTCAGCAAAGTACTTACCTGTATGCTTCAAGTGAAGCACACATATATACAGACATACCTCAGAGATATTGCGGGTTCGGTTCCAGACCACTGCAGTAAAGCGAATATTGCAATAAAGCGAGTCTCACGAATTTTTTGGTTTCCCAGTGCATATAAAAGTTATGTTTACACTATACTGTAGTCTATTAAGTGTGCAATAGCATTATGTCTAAAAAAAAATGTACATACCTTAATTAAAAAATACTTTATTGCTAAAAAATGCTAACCATCGTCTGAGTCTTCAGCGAGTCGTAATCTTTTTGCTGGCGGAGGGTCTTGCCTCAATTTGTAAAAAACGCAATATCTGCGAAGCGCAATAAAACGAGGTATGCCTGTAATTGCATTCCTGTTCAGTGAAGCACAGTAAATTTAAGTACGTGCTCACGTATGCTTCAGTTGGGTGATAGGGGTGTGTTTGCTCCTTTACTGACCCCCATGTTCACTTTACTGGCTTGCCAAAAGCTCTGCTAGCTTTATTCAAGTGGTGCATTATCTTGACAATGTTTGTATGACTATTCAAAATACTACCAAGGTGAGTGAACTTCTGAATAACAGGTCTGCCAAGACCTGAAGATTTGCCCTGAAGTTGGCCACCAGTGGACTGTCATTGCCATGTCAGAGTAGCTATATAGTCCAGGGGTGGGCAAAATGGTGGATCTGGCCGATGGCTGGACTCCATTTCCCAGCAGCTCCCACCTGCTTTGCTGTGGCTGGTTTCCACAGAGACCCCAGCAGCACCCTGCAGCATGGGGTCAGGGTTTCCATGGGGACTGGCCCCAGCAGTACTGACAGGATGCATGGCTGAGCAGGGAGCTGCTCTGGGGCTGGGATCTTGCAATGGTGACAGTAAGGTCCAAAGCTGGGGAAGAGCCACAATCTACTGCCTGCACACTCCTGCCTGGACCATGCTGTCACAGCTGCAAGATCTTAGGCGTGGAACAGCTCCCTGCCCAGCTGCATGGCCTGCCAGTGCTGCTGAGGCCAGTCTCTATGGAAACATTGGCCTTGTGCTGTTTTGGTGCCACCGCTGCTGGGGTCTCCATGAAAATGGCTGCAGTGACATGGGCAGAAGTTACTGGGAAATGGAGTCTTTCATGTGCCCAGTCCAGCTTGCAGATCAGACTTTGCCTGCCCCTGGTACAGTACGCTGTTTTTGGCAATCTTGGCACCAATGCACGGTTTGGAGAGGTTGCCCCTCTTGCAATTTGTAAGTGAATCCTTATAATCCACATTAAGGTTATAAGTTGCCTTGTACAAATAAGCAGGATCAAAAGTAACAGTGAAGTACAGGAAGAAAAACAGTTTGCATTACCTGCAGCAGAATAGAAGAACCTAAAAAGAATGTCTTTGGAGAAGCTATGACCATACACATCCTGTTTTTAGAAATGATCTGGGTGACTCCATTATTGGAAATACCTCCAGACTTCATGGGAATGAATATAGAATCATTGCATTGGCTTATTAGCCATATTTTATTTTCCTGACTACACGTTGTGCTGTTGACATTTCATGAGGGAACAAGTAAAAAAATGATGAGAAAGAGACATGCAAGTTAAATTTCAAGGACTAAGGTTTATTTTGTTGACTGTTGCAGAATGATTTTCCTCACCTGTGGCAGGCAGTAATGGATCAAATGTAAAATTGGTTTGACTGCTGTGTTATAGACACAGACTTCTTTTTTTTTTTAAAAAGAGCAACATAGCATGAGATGCATCACCGTACAATCTAGCCCATTAAGCTGGGCAGCTAGCCCAGACGTTGCAAGGAGAGATCCTCAGAGTACCTGTCAAAGCAAATCTGAACCATTCAAGCAGGGCAGTAGTTTTGTCATGCATGGGGGATGAACAAGTGCCACTGTGCCAGTGCTTAAAAAAGAGCACAGTCAGAATTTGGGTGATTTTGAAATAACTACAGATTTAACCCAGAATGTAACTACAG